GGTTAAACACCTTGCATAATGCTAATGCCAGCGTTACTCTAACTTTCAAGCCTTATAACTCGGAAAGTACTTCATGAAAAATTACTTTATTATAGTGTTTTGCTCTCGAGGCTACAAGAATATGCAATAAAAAATAGGGGAGTTCCATTTAAAAAATTCAACTTGACCTTCATATGATCTTGCAGACTCCATCCAAAGTCAATCTTATCATCATTTAGGTAGATTTTTTGAAGTCCACAACTTTGCTCTAATATATTTTTTGCTAGAATTGATCGTTTTCGAAATATTTTAGCGTTTCTAGACTTTTTGAAGACACACTTATAAGTCCAATTTTGACAAAGCGCTCCTATGCAGAATGAACTAAATCGAAAAGTCCTGTACCATTTTTTTGTAATTTACGAAATAGTCAACGAGATATTTCTAAAGATTGTCGAATAAGCGAGTAAAATCAATACATAAGACTATTTTAAGATTTCTTTCAGAGTTCTTTATAAAATATCTTAATGATTGAATGAATTTTTCTTAAAGAATTCTTAAAGAAGTTTTAAAATTATTTTATATGTAAATTTTAGATATTCTGGTTATTAGATAACTAAAAACAAAAATTGTGAAAATTGAAATTTTAAAGGAGGACTTTTAGACTTAATTAGTCCGCTCTATCTACACACGAGTGTTTTGTTTCAAAACTTACCAGATACCCTATATATACACAATATTTTTTTTAAAGACGACTATAAATGTACCAACGTATACATCGCGACGTGTATGAATATATTGTTATTTATAATGAATATTACATATAATTTATTACATATAATTTTACATTTAATTTATGCACGCACACACTCTAAAATAATTTATATTTAGATCAAAATAATTATCAAAACTACGCAGAGGAGGCTCCTAAAACATACATGTATATATAATATATTAGGTGTGGGAAAAAGTTCGTGGCGTTTTTTTAATGCCATCTAACGGGAAAAACGTCACGAATTTTTTCCTACACCTAATATATATAGATTCATTACACAAACTTGACATTTGATATTTTCACGAGTTTCCTGTAATTGTTCTGTTAATTTTAGAATCAACAACAGTAGACGTATTTGACGACTCTGACCCCATATTCTAAGTACTCGGTATGTTATGTTAAACACAATAGACGCGATTACAATACGATTAGAATCGATATCTGGGATATTTCATATTTTCAACAAATCCTTGTATGATTGGGACCCAGCTTATAGTGAGGAGAACTGCAGCTGACGATTGTCATATAAAGTATCAATCGCGATGACGCATTGCGGGGCGTTCCTTCATAAACACAGAAGAATTCACGTTGCATACTCCAGCATGTTTCAACATGTTCCTACCATAGCTCCTACTCACTCTAACGAGCACGTTTGAGTGAGTAGGAGTTATAGTTGGAGGAAGTAAGAGCATGTTGGAGCATGCAACGTTAACAAATGTAGAGACATGTATCGGTCTGGAGAAGTATTATAATAATGAAAGATAAGGAAAAGAGCGTATTCAGCGTTGTTCCAAAAGAAGAAGGCATGTCGCTCGCTGGAGAAGCTGTCGCGTTTAACCATGTGCGACCGTACTTAGTCGCCTGGCAACGAATCATCATCGACGAAGGTCATGCGTCAAGTGAGAGTGAAGGAACGCGTCGTTCAGTATGCGTAAGCGACACAAATTATATGTATACGCGTTACTATATGCAGAAGACTCGTGGTAAATGGTGCCATGTGTGCTGTCCAACACGGGGTCAAAGTTTGTTGTGGCGAATATTGTCGCGGACGGATGTTGCGACCTCGCCAGAGAGTGGAAATCGAAAGGCATTGATACATAGCTGATGGAGAAATCGTTGTCAACGATCGCATGAATCAAAGGCGCGCGCGGGTTTCTATTGACGAACAATTCAACATCGTAAATTATTATTAGCAAATTATTATTAGAAATCGACCACGCTTTCTTTCTACGAGCACTTCCGGATCTGCTCCGGAAATTGCTTACGCTAAGTACTTTGGTTGGAGATATATTAAAAATGAGACAATCGCTTCTGTGGGAATTTATCTAATGACAGTAAAACGCGGAGAAAGTAAATTGTTTCGCGAAGGATAGAAATTACATCGCGTATTACGCATGTTTACAAACGCACTAATTGTAAGAAAAAAATTTGCCTTCTGCAAAACTATAATTTAGTCGAGACATTTTTTTAATAGTAAACAAATATTCTGTTTTATATAACAAAAAATTTCTGCAAAATATATTTTTTGTTTTGTAAATAACAAAATAAAACTTGTTTATACGAAGGAGACAATTTTATTTGATTATATTAATTAAATATTATTTTGTCGTTATTTTGTCGTTAGTTTTGATTTATAGAATTAAACATTTTTTTCTACATGGTTTGCTGAAATATTTAATTATTATAGTTAGATACAGATTTGAAATTAGTTTTGTTTTGGACTATCAAAATAACGTTAACAATTACGTAATAACGTTAGGCATAATGAGTAGTGCTATAACCTTCTAACAATTTGAGTTCTACATAATTATTTTGATGATTTTAAACAAAATTATCTTCAGATCTGTTTAAATTTTTAAGTACTGCAGCAAATTCTTTCTGTGCAGCCATACGGTTAGATAATTGATAATGTAATTTTCAATCCGCGAAATTAAATTTGTAGCGGATTAATAATACTCGATAATTAAATTTATTTATCAAATAACAAATATAAATACGAAGTACTCCTAAGTATAGAAAAATTAAGGAAATTACTACAATTACTTTTATCCGGAAGAGGATGACGAATGTTTATTATACCTCGCTATATATTTGCGTAATTATAAAAACGTTGTGCATCACTTCGCTTTGTGACTGACTGGTAATAAGGCCAACGGTCTTTCATCAACGAATCGAACTCGCGCGTAGGAACGTATAAAAACAACGCACGTGTCGTCTATTCATTGGCGCTAGCTTGGCGTTCTATCGCGATCATGCATATGTATTTTAATCGAATACATATAAAGCCGCATGATACACAAATTATAAAGTTCGCATGGAATGTGGGCATATATTCCTTAACGAGTCTCAAAACGATTTTATCTTAATTTTTATATGGGGAGATATCTTCTTTCTATATATAGTTCGAATAATTTAATTAAAATAAATTTCAATTTAGAAAATATAAAACGGTGATGATCTAGACGATCAATATTATTCAATAATAATTTAAAATTGCATAATATAATATCATTGATTGTTTGGAGATTAGATTTTAAGACTATTTGTTTTTTGAATTGTTTTAAAGAGGGCATCGATAACGTACAAAATGTTTGACAAAATGTTGGATATTGAATCCAACGAGCTGCTCTTTATACGAGCTGCTCTTTATATTAAAGTATTATTCATTTCATGGTTTCCAATGTTTAAAACAAGCAACTGTGACCTGACTTGAATTTGTGAAGACAAAACTATAGATTAATATAATATAACTTGATTTGAATTTCTACAAAAATAATAAGATACTATAAACATAAAAGTTTCTAAAAGTTTCTAGTAGACAAATTTCGCAAGATACGCTACAAAATGTTACGTAACTACGCGTATCATCATAATTACACCTTGTATTGCAAAAATAAATAATATTTGAAAATACAAAAACTCAGTTACATAAACAGAACAAAATTGCAACGTATTCAATCGTTTTGCGTCGCGCTAATGAGACTTTCAACGCCGTGATTGTGCATCTTTATGCGATTCTTATTTGCTCACAATACATCGTATCGCAAACGAATAATCGAAGTTCGTTTGAAACATTATTAAAAAAAAAAAAAAAAAAAAATCGCGTGCACGGATATAAACAAGCGCTTGTTGACGCATTTGACGTGATGCTCTCTGAAGAAGATACATCTCGCGATTTTGTTTCGATCGAGCATATCGATTTCTACTCTTTTTTTCGTGCTCGGAAGTCGCATGTGTATGCGAGCCTGCAGAAATCGTCAGACGATAACGAAATCGAATTCGGCAGTTTGTTGCCGTTTGTGCAAACGCGCAAAAAAGAATTAACGATAATCAGCGGACGCGCGCGCGATTGAGGAAACGCGCGGGGAAATCAGCAGCGTCGGCGCGGCCCTGACGAGTGTGCGACGTCGCCTAAGCCGCGAGTGCTGAGTCACATTTCGCGAACGATCTCTCCCGGCGAGGTGTTCGACGTTCGCTCGCTCGCTCGTTCGCTCGGACGGTTTCTCCGCGTAACGAAACTCCGTGTCGGGAGGCTAAAGCAGGGTGAAGTGTCGTGCGCGGACAAAAGTGTCATCTCATCGCCGCGCGAAGCTGAGCGTTAAAAGAAGGAAACGCGGCATAACGCTCGACGCGTCGCTCGTCCGCGGATGAACCGCGCGAAGTGCGAACCCGTCTTCGGATTCGAATTATCGTGAGTGATTTTTTTTTCATGCGCCCGCGTCGCTCACGCGGAAGCTGTGTGTACGGCACGGGATCTGTCAGTTACTCTGTTTGCTGTCAGTAATCAGATCGACACCTCTGTCTTGCAGCTTGCTCTGTCTGTTTGCCTCGCGATCGCAGCTGATTCGCGCGTGGAGCCATCGCTGATCACCCAACGAGACTTTCGCAAGTCGCACTGTCACCGATAGTGTCCAAAGGTTTGTCGCCGACGACAAAAGGAGGTGCGGACTGCGGAGCAGTCGCCTGTCAGAGGAGTGTCCGCGAGGCATGCGTGCACGAAATGCGCATGGCTGCACAGGCTGCACTGCGGGTTAATCAGTGGCTCGTGTGCGGTTTTGAGGTTATTTCGGTCTCGTGTAACTGACCTATACCCGGCTAGCTGGGAAAGCCGCGGATCTTTTATTTCGACTCCGGCACGCCAAACGATCGGTCGCCTTCACTGTTCGACGGTTCCTCCTCATTTTTTGCAAAAAAATTTCAACGGTTACCGAACATCCTCGTCATCACGTTGAACTGTGTACTCTAACCTTAAAAACTAGAGCAGAAACACGCGACTCGTTCCAACTCATTCGTGATGTGTCTCATAGTCAGGTGAACGGTCGCTGTTTTTCGGGTAGACTCTTTGTTTACGTGTGACTCTCTTTACGTTTTGGTCACGCGCGATGTCAATGGATATCTTGCGGAATTGCGTCATCTCCTCATGACGCCGAGTCTATTGTTTGTAGGGATAGTCAGGAATAGCTAGGCAGTGTGACAACGTGTCAAGATCTGTAGGACTGTTTTTGAGCAAGATTTAATTCAAGAGAAACGGATCAAGATGTTGTGCATGAAGAAATTGTATCGGGAGGAGTTGCTGCAGCTCGCATTGCTGCTCTCCTTGCTGCGTGTGGATCCTAACTCCTACCTTGGCCTAGATATTCAGACAATCGGCGTGGGATCTCTGGATCTCAACAATGGATCTGGATGGCACACGGATCACACAATTGTCCATCGCCCGATGTTCATCCATCCAAAGAATCCAGACTCTATGCTTCTGAATTACCAAAGGGATCTATTCGAGGAACTCAACTCGTTGGGCAGATACAACAGAATGAATTCTGGTCTCAATGCCATACAGGCCTATCTACTGAATGTCGAAGAATCCAATAGAATGGCAGGCCCCAGTGTACCAGTTTCTACAAACACAACTAGGAATATGACATCTCCTGATCCACCAACTTCCACCCAGAATCCTGCAGAGCCAGTTGGCGCAGCGGAGCTCACTCAAGAGGTAAATCTTTCAATTGATTTTACTAGCAAAGATTATAATATAGAGAATTACTATAGAGATTATAATATAGAGATTATAATATAGAGATTATAATATAGAGAATAAAAATTGATATGTATTACAATGTATAATGTAGACATCTGTGTTATTAAAAAGTTGATTTTGCTAGTAGGAATTATGGAGTAAGAGTATTTATATATTTTTACAAAATATATCGTAGGTGTATCCTCATGTTATTAAATAATTTCTAGTAGGGATTATATAATATAGGAAATAAAATAACGAATTAGTATGTGTTACAATATATAAGTATATAACATAGTCTATATTTCTGAATTATATCATATCTCTTAAATAATTGATTTTGCTAGGAATTATATGATATAGAAAACAGAATAAGGATTAGTATGTGTTACAATGTTATTATAGTATGTGTTCCAATGTATAACATAGATATAGCTGTGTGTTATTATTAAAACTGTTATTTAATACTTTGATTGCCATACATAGATTATTTCTTTTTTTACAATATAAAAGCTAATGCTTCTCTTTATTCTTTTGCTCTTAATCTTTTAAACACATAATCATGATCTAACATTTATATTTGAGAATAGTTAAGTATTATTTTAAATGCTGCATAGTTTCAAGTGAAAGTTTCTTTGCTTAATCTATTATTCATTTTAAAATATATAATTTTTTTATAGTTAATAATATCATTTATGACACCACGTAATGTAATACTAACGATGAATTACAGAGAGGCACTGATATTTATGTAAATACTGTATCATCATTGTTATTCGTAGCATTTTATACTATTTTTTAACAAAGGTACAAAAAAATAATCGATTCTATACGTAAATTCTGGCCGCGTTAAACTGCATGCAACAATCAGATTTAAAAATAATATTTGGCAATGCACATTTGGCGCGTATATCTGGAACATTTTTTTGCTCGATGCAAACATTCAGAAAAATCAGTAATAACTGTGTCGCGTCACGGTCACATTGGTAAGTCAAGATTTGTTGAAAGAAGAACGCAATATCACTCTGACAATAGTATATAATCGTGTAATGTAAATGACCCCACAAGTCCTTGTGACAACCTTGTTGCTTGTAGAGGCGGCCTTCTTCGTCTTTCCATCTTTTCCTCTCTTCTCTTTTTTTCGAAGCACTAAATTGATTCGTATACAATTTCAATCTTTTATTAATATCAATTGAAACACATAGAAATACCTGAAGTACTGAAACGTAAGCAATAAACGAATCGACTGATCAATAATAGAAAACAAGGCAATAACATTAGCATATTCAAAATGTTGATTTGTTTACTGTTTATGTTCATTGGATTCAGAAAGTAGTCAAGAGGGATCATTGGCGCGCGAGCAAAATTTTTATTTCAAATTAAATATGAAAAGAATATTAAATTATTATTTAAATTATTACATTAAAAAAGTATTATTTAAACGTATAATTCGTGAGACATTATTTAAAATTATATTAACACAAACAAAAGAGGAATGATATATAATAAGATGTTTTTTATATTTTGGAATTTCTTGAAATAAAAATTTTTTTTGAAATGTCAAAATTGTGATTAGACGTTTCAGAAATATTAAAAATATATATAACATTTTACTATATTTATATTAAAAAAGGAGGGACCATGCTTGTCTCTCACCAGTGCGTACTCTTATTAGTTAAGTTTTTTGTATGTCATAATCTTTATTTGTTTTGTGAAAACTTACGCGGTTTATATAACCAATAATTACATTTATGAGTTGAATATAAAACTTTAACGTAGTATTTCAAACGCGTGTTATAAACAATCAAATATAGAATTAGAGATACATTATATAATCTAAACACTCAGTTACTTCTTTTTATTTTTAAGTTTTATTTTTGCTTCTAACATAAGAGGAAATGCAAGTTATAAATTATTCATATTTCAACATAACTATATATAAATGTGTTTATCTTCACAATTTAGAAATGTATATCTAGCGATATTTAATATTAATTTTGTTTCAAATTGTTTCCGTATCTTTGCCTTATGAAAAAAAGTTACATGTTGCTGATAAAATTCGAAAGAAACTAAGTTTACGATCGGATACCATAAATAATGCCGTGTGATGGAAATAACCGATTGATGATTCATAAACCCACTTTTCTTTGTTGTGTCTGAAAATATGACTGCATTCAATCATTTATAATTCATCTTTTTTTGTGATTTTTTGTCGAATCTACACGAGAGTCAGTTTTTTCCTTCTGAGTATACAAACGTCCTTGTATGCTCAGGTTATCTATACCTATACTAGTCAATCTAGGTCAATTAATTGCGAATCTGTTCCCAATCATTTAGCGATGACCATTTTTAGCAAATTTAAAAATCCTTCCATCATGTACATATATTGAGTATAATGACGCATTACGATTGATACGTTCATGTATGTGTATGTCTGATAAAGAAAGTACATTATCTTATGCTGATAACACAAAGCTTACGCTTCATAAACAATAATGTACTAATCGTGCGTGATAAATATCATAATTTAGATAATAATGCATAATAAGATACAATATTGTTAGTAAAATTATTTACTATCTTCTAATTCTTTTGAATTTTCTCTCAGAATCTTACATTCGGTTTTTAGCCATTCCGGATTTTAAATAATGATAATATATTCGTAATATATTTTTTATATCCGTGTTAAATTCAATTTAAAGTTTATTTATCTCTATTTTAGCTGACATTTGAACCGATGATCTAGAGTTTTAAGAGTGTAGTTCGACCAATTTTATAGTTTAATATCTCTTAAATTATTGAGTGCCTGAGCAAACGGCAAAATACGTCGATTTTTTTTCGATGCACAACCTACTGGGAAAAATTCAGAGTAATCGAGAAAAAAATCTCGCGTCGGTTCCTTGTTAGTGATAAATATATAGATATATAAAATATATTTACACTAAAATATTTAAATACTAAGATGGCTTGGATCGAAAATAGAATTTTTCTTATTTAATTAGATTTATTCTCCATGATGTCCAATTTTGTGCTATAATTATTGTCTTAATTTAAATTATATGAAACAAAAAAGTTTTGGTAGTTTTCCTCGTGAGAGAACATACTTAGATACGCGATTGATTTATTTAAAATAGAATCGTATCAACTGGATTCAATCATTAATAGAATTCTGCGATCTTTGGTGAACTAAGATCACATGCGAGGTTATGATATCACTCGCACACGTCGAAATCTTTTCTGCATTATCTCACCACTTGCGTGAAATTCTTCAGGTGTAATTGCATTGCAAAATCAAGTGTGTAATAAATGTTTTCACATGTATGTGAATTAATTTTCTATGTAAAAATAACACTATACCTTTAAAACCAATATTTGTATGCCCAATATATGTAAAACCAATATATGTATAAAGTCCAATATATGAATAAAGTATAATGCAGTATGTTATTTTTATGGAAAATTAAATTACACACACACACACACACACACACACACACACACACACAGAGAGGCGCGCGCGCGCACGCACGCAGTGAAAAAAATTTACTAAATCTTAATACATATTTGTTTTAATAAAAAAAATTATAATAGTATTAATAATAAATATTAATAATATAAATATTAATAATTAATAATAAATATTTACTCATAATAAAAAAAATTATAGTTAAGTCAAATTAATTGTTTAAATTAATGTATCAAATAAATATATGTTTAGTAAATATTTACTTAGAACATTTGTTCAAACATTTTTTTTAATTTAGCATTTTTTTATCGTATTTATTATACTTGGATTTGCAGTATGAATGCTCATGTTCATAAGGATTGCTAGTTCTATCGATTTACCGAATGTTTAAAATCTGCATATTTTACGTGCCGTATAATACAGACTAGATTTTTAAAAAATATAGTAAAATATATTATTTTTTATATTCAAATTTTAGATTTCATTTTCGTGAAATAAAAAGTGTATATATAAATGTAAAGAATATACTTAGAAACATAAACAAAAATTTCTCTAAGAATTTTTAAGAAATTATATATAGCTTTAAAGATACTGTTTTTGAATGATAATAGTCACTACTCTGACGCACTATGTTACGAACACAGAATGATGCAATCGGAACAAAAATGTGTCTAATGACTTTTTAAATATATCTATAATTCTTTTAACTGGAGTAATATTTCGTGAAATGCTTATGCATCAAATACGAATGTGCACTGTGATAAGTAAGCAATTCTCACGTCAGAAATATTTCTGAAACAAGCTATAATATCATTCGCAATTTGTAAGTATACTTAAAAGAGTCACGATTAATACGACAAAAAGTGACAGAATAAAACATGTTGATTTTAAAATATCAACGTGTCACGTTTCTTATATTTCTTATTTATTAATTCATTAATTAATGAACATTATTAATTAATGATACAAACAATAATACTGCGATTATTTAAAAAATGTAGTGATATAATATATTATTTTTATTTTCAATTTTTGGACTTCATTTTCGTAACATAAAATGCATTTTGTAGATATGAAGGATACATTTAGAAACGTAAACAAAAATTTTTTTTAAGAAATTGTAAGGAATTTAGTCTTTAACAAGAATTTTTGTATTTGTGACATTGCAACAATTAAGACACATATAATCAATCTTTTTCATTAAAAATTTATGTTTATAAATAAAAATAGATAAAAAGGACTGTGTAAAGATATAACTATTTTTGAATGTTACTGAGTATATAACGAAAAGCATACGTAAATATATTTTCCGTTATACATTACCGAGAACTGCTTTGTTCCAAATTAGATATCTGGCTTCATTTCAACACGTGAGTGACATCAGTAAATTTATTAGATTTCGAACAGCATTCAGTGCAATATCAATTATTTTGCAAAAAGATAATTTAATTTTTTTTATAGCAATTATAAATATCGTAGCAATAAATCGCGCCGCTTTATTCGAGTAAAA